TAAAGTAGGTCAAAGGTCACACACACTCTCTCTCTCTCTCTCTCTCTCTCTCTCTCTCTCTCTCTCTCTCGTGGTAGCACAACGGTAGGTCGTATGACTGACACACACACCTTTTATTATTCCACTCAGGTGTCAAAAGGTATCAGGTACAGGTATTTGGCGTTCATGTGTAGTACAGGTGTGATTGATTTTGCCGCTTACAGCTGCTAGTTTATTGTGCACCCCACACTCATCCTGTGAGCGGCAGCGCAAAAGGATTACAGAGTAGAGTTTACAAGGGGTCATAATAATTAACCTCCGTGGTTAGGATATTATGGCACTGAATGTTACACAGTATTTCAATTACATTATTTGTTTAGTTCTATACATAAAGGGTAACTTATTCACAACTGCGTGAGTACAGGCGTGTGAGGCAGTATGTCTGGCCTCACACTTTGTTATTCACATTTGCGTGAGAAGTATTCAAGCACATTGTGTATTTGGTTCTATACATGAGAACTGATATAGTTACTAAGTGCAAAAAAGTGGATACAATCTTAATATGTCGGCTATCTTGCCATTAGAGATGAAGTGTTGTGCCATTTCACACACAGTGTGCTTGGACCTGTCCCTAAAAGGTTCTATCTTCACACAGTCGAGGACGTAGTGTTCAAGTGTGTGGCCATATGTCTGGCCACACACTTTACATTTAGTCTTGTTTACATCTGCTTGAGGAACATACTGCCAGAGGAACTTATATCCTAACCTTAATCTAGCTGTTACAACATCTTGTAATCTAGTGATCTTGTTACTTGCTCCTTATACATGTGTGTGTGTGTGTGTGTGTGTGTGTGTGTGTGTGTGTGTGTGTGTGTGTGTGTGTTATAACAGTAGCGGGTGAATGTTGTGTTGAAAAATGATAAAGGATTTTGTGGCCGAATGGTTGCAATACTCGCTTCCAAACCTAGTGGTCCCTGGCTCGAGTCTTGCTGCCAGTCATGAGTAGAACAGGTCACCTTGTCTCTTTATGTACTGGTAACAATAATAATAATAACTGATAATAATAAAAGTAAAAATAACAATAACAAATAATGATGTAAATATTAAGTGACTGACTGACTGTTTATAAATTTTTTGTGTGTTCGTGGATTAACCGACCTGACTGTGTACATATCAGGATTCTAGACTGACGAACTGTATTCCCCAAAGTTAGAATTCAGGCGGGCGAAACTGTGCAGGGAAAACACATCACTAATTGACACTCTCGGCTCTTGAAGTTTGATATTAATGGCATATCTTTGAGCCGTGAACGTCTCCTCTCACTCACTTTTAGGAAGAGTTAATTAAGACCTGTCAGCTCCTTGTACATACAGCCTCCGACATTACCCCTTTGGCGTCTGGAGTAACACTGAGCATTTACCACCGAGGTCATCCCTTATATAGGACCTCTCTCTCTCTCTCTCTCTCTCTCTCTCTCTCTCTCTCTCTCTCTCTCTCTCTCACACATATTAGGGCCGACCTGTGAGGTTTTAATATCCAACCGGGAAAGATTGGCCCCCCGGCAGTCATCTTAGGGCTCTTGTGTGGTACAGATACCCGGCAAGATAACTTTTAAAGCACCTCGCCGGGATTAATTGGAAAACGTACGTGTGTGTGGAGGGGGCTTGTCTCTGGGTTTATATGTATGTATGTATGTATTTTATAAATGTGGAAAAGGTTTGTGTGTATTTGTGTGTGTGTGTGTGTGTGTGTGTGTGTGTGTGTGTGTGTGTGTGTGTGTGTGTGTGTGTGTGTGTGTCCCCTTCATCTTCTTTGTCTTTCCCTCCTCTACCACTATTTTTTATTCTCCTCTCCATTACCACTACTACCACCATCTACTACCACTATCACAACCACCATCACTACTACCACCATCACCACTACTACCACTATCACAACCACCACCACTACAGTACTACCACCATCACTACGACCACCGTAACCACCACTTCTACCACCGTCACCACCATCTCTACCACTACTACCACCATCACTACCACCACCACTACTACCAACATCAATAGTACTACCACTATCACCACTACTACCACCATCACCACCATCTCCCTACCACAGTCAATTATTCATCCCATTAGCTGGACCGAGATGGGATTATCACGGGATCACGGGGGTGGGATTATCACGGTGTGGATTATCACGGGGTGGATTATCACGGGGTGATTATCACGGGGATTATACGGGGTGGATTATCACGGTGTGGGATTATCACGGGGTGGATTATCACGGGGTGGATTATCACGGGGGTGGGATTATCACGGGTGGGTTATCCGGGTGGGATTATCACGGGGTGGGATTATCACGGGGAATAAATCACAGTGAGAAGAATTATATTTGTCACGTTCCTTCCTTCCTTCCTTCCTCCTATTATTTATCTTTCCTCTCCTCATCCTCTTCCTCCTCCCCTTCCCCTTCCCTCCCCCTCCCTTAGCACCTCGGCGGCCATGATCGATCGGTAATTAGGAGGTAACGAGCGCTAGTTAACGCCAGGTTGTTAACGAGGGATTAGCCAGCACACGACCACCACGTGAACAAGAATGGCCTATAATACTCCCAAGATGTGTTTGTTTGTCTCTTTGTTTTTTGTTTGTTTGTGTTTGTAGGTGTTGTGATTTTGTTTATTTGTTTTTTGTTTGTTTTTGTATTGTTTGTTATATTTATCTTGTTAGTTTGTGTTTGTTGTATGTTTTTTGTTTGTTTGTTTGGTATTGTATGTTAGTTTTTCTTGTTTTTTTCAGTGATGTCTCTAATAATAATAATAAAAATAATAATAATAATAATTTCACTCGGGAAATTATTATTATTATTATTATTATTATTATTATTATTATTATTATTATTATTATTATTATTATTATTATTATTATTATTCTTAGAAGGAACATTATCCAGCCATCAGCCAATCACCTTTGTTCAGATCATAAATTCTGACCAATCACAGCCACGATCGCAGGCGCCGTGTTGACTAATGAGCAGAAATCTCAAGGCTCCAATTCCTTCATTAAATAACGTGTGAAAAAAGCAGTTAGTGGAGTAATGGAGTGTGTTGGTGGAGTAATGGAGTGTGTTAGTGGAGTAATGGAGTGTGTTAGTGGAGTGTGTGTTGCCTCTCTGGGATAATAACACACTCCTCGTCTGTCTGTCTGTGTTGGTGAAGAGAACGGAGTGAAGGCCCTCTCTCCCTCCCTCCCTCACCCCACTTCCTCCTCCTCACTTCCCTCCCTCACCTCATCTCCTTCCCTCTCTTCCTCCCTCACGCCTCTTAACTGCCTCTGTTCCCACTCCCCCTCCTCCTAAACAATTATTCCTTCTTCCTCCTCCTTCTCCACATTTACTCCTCCTCAGGCAGGACTGTGAGAGCTTCAGTCATCACACACACACATGGTATACAATACTCAGTTGTATTTTAATTACTGTATTATATTTTAGCTTAAGACCAGTGTGTTAGTGAGGTATTATTATTAGTAGTAGTAGTATTTGTTGTTATTATTATTATTATTATTATTATTATTATTATTATTATTATTATTGTTGTTTGTTGTTATTATTATTATTATTGTTTGTTGTTGTTGTTGTTATTTTTGTTGTTGTGCAATAAGTGTTAATATTGGAGGAAACTGTAGTACCTGAAGTAAACCTGTTATGTTTGGTAGCTAGGGGCGGTAGTTCGTGGTCTAATTGCTCCAGTATATACGTGTTAGTTAGGACGTCTTAGTTAGGGCGTGTTAGTTAGTTAGAACGTGTTAGTTATGACGTATTAGCCATCAACTGTCTTATCACATCTTGAGATGATAATACAGTGACCTTCAGTAGCACCTAGACCACAACACCTCCCTGAAGCAGACCTTACCATCACCTGACGGAGGGGTGGCCGTGGCGTGGGTTAGGTCCTGCTGCTGGTGAGTGAAGTGGACAAGTGTGTTAAGTCATTATATAAAGTGATGGAGCATTTTTGTTCCTTCAGAGGTGTTAAGTACTTGGTGGTGAGGTGTAGGGACGATAGTAAGAGAGAGAAGGAGGATGGGATGGGTGAGGGAGAGAGGGTGGGAGGGACGGGTCCTGGATGACAACCTACCCACCATTATATTTAATGATTCAAGATTCAGGAAAGGTTTAATAGTAAGTTTAACAAAAGGAAAACTTGACGCGCTTGTGTGGATGTTTGTGTTGGGGGTTGATGGGAGGTGTGTGTGTGTTTTAATGACTACAGTTTAACCCCATTTGAGAACCATGGATTTACCCCTTTTGACAAAGATGATTTAACCCATTTAAGAACAATGGTTTAACCCATTGGAGGACAATGCTTTAACCCTTTGGTGATTATGATTTAAAACTTTAAACCTTTGGGAAATATGTTTTAGCTTTGAATGAGTTTGGTAAATACTGGTTATAAAAAAATTAGGGGCATTTGATAAATTATCCTGTTAAAACTCTCCCTGTTGCATTCTCGAGCAAATTATCGTAATCGGAAGTAATTAATTATTTTGATATAAATCTGTCAGTGGGCTGGGGTTCAAATGTGAGGGAAATTGGTCGGAAGGAACTAAACGAATTTATTTATTTACAAAAATAAATATGGTACAAACTGCAGTACAGTGTTTGGGATTTTGAAATGTGAATTTATTTGCGGACATGAAACTCGGACGATAAAAGAACTAAATTATCACTGATCTGTCGCTGATTATAGCTGGAATGGATCAGATAGAGATTACAACAATGTTCTGTGGTTCGTTCCAGCAAAAATCAAAGATAATTCAGTGATAGTTTTCTTTTTATTCGCCTAAACATGAGACAGAATGGACTACTTGCCGAATCAGTTGGAAAAGTTTATCATTGTAAGTATGAGAGACTGAATCTTTACCGGTAGATATAAATATTCAGTAATATATTCATACAAGTTCACGTTCATTACATGCAGGTGTTCTTATATTCGTGTTATTCTTTATGTGTTTGTTGGCCTCCAGGTCGGTTCTGTGGGGGTCTGAGGTTCCCTGAGACCATTGTGTCTACTGGCAGCCGCATGTTGGTCACCTACGTCACCTCCGTCAACCAAAATGGCCACAAGGGCTTCACCGCTGCCTACGAGGGTAAGGTAGTGGGGCAGTGACGTATACACACACACATGCATAAGCTTAACCACACACAATCAAACAAACCAGAATGTATATATATATATTTTAATTTGTACTTCCACGAGCATAAATTCATACACTCTGAATTGTCAGTACATGGTACAGTCTCCCTTAAAGCATGTTTTAAATCAGTAGAATAATATGTGGAAGTTGGATGTTATCAAGTACTCCATTATCATCCTAATATGTTTTTTACCTCCTCTAGCTGTGTGCGGGGGAGAACTGTCAATGGAAGAAGGTCACTTAGAGAGTCCCAACTACCCAGATGACTACCGGCCAAACAAGGAGTGTGTCTGGAAAATCACAGTTCCTGATGGGTATCAAGTGGCTCTCAGATTCCACTCATTTGAAGTCAGTATTATTAGTAACAGTCCATTAGGAGATATTTATTTTAAGCTAGGTGTTTCTCATTTACTGTATTAAAAAGAACTTTAAAATCTTGTATGTTTAGTTTAATTTAATACAGGTGTAGTACATATTTACACCTGTAGACTGAAATTTAAGTTTTGTAGAAAGATTTATGGCACACTGAGATTCCCTGTAGCCTTGTAAAGCTGTACATATTCAGAAGTAACCTCTTTTGTTGCACATAGAACAGGGATAATTTTGAGACTTGATACTGCAATCAGCTTCTGTGCTGTAATTTGTGTGAGTACAGTTGTGTTATATCAGTTGAGGTCTTCCTAACACATGTCACTGGTCATTCCCCCCTTGTCCTCCCACCTGTATTATGTTTTTTAGATTTTTATATCGTAATATTTTATCAACCTATTATGGCTCGATTGTTTATAACCTACATGCCTGACTCTGGCCACTCACTTATTACCAGCTGGTCTGCAGGATCAGCACTTGTCATACCCCGTTGACTCACTAGAAAAGTTTGCAGTCATTCCAAACAATTAAATCGTACTTGAGGAAAATTACTTTTGTGCTTTAAAAGTTCAAACTCGGTAATGAATTTGCTTCACAAGTCAACTTATTCAACTTGAGGACAATCATGTTGCAAGAGAAAATAAGCAAACAGCCTCTTATGGTCCATTAAGAGCAATTAATGAAAGCTGGGAAATATTTCTCTAATGATCCTTTATAGAGTGTGTTTCCTGTGATAATGAACCTTGGTGGAAGCTCACACTGTACAGTTTGTCCCTCACTGAAGTGACATTGTAAGTGGAGGGAGAAGCTCAGACTTAACAGAAAAGGGTCAGTGATCCAGTTGCTCTCAATGAACAAGTCAATGCAACATCACCCAGCTGTCAGACCTCCTGAGGGGCTCCTCTGTAACCCTAAGCAGAGCACAAAAGTGTACATAATCTCTTAAAAGGTAATACACTGTATTACAAGCAGGTCTGATCATTCCCATGGTGGGATATCCAGTGCCCCCCCCCCCCACCCAGCTTCCAAAATGGAACTAATCAAAATTCCAATTGAAACCACATTGGGCTGTCCCCATGTTAACCTCAGGCCAGACACACACACAGATACAGTGATGAGGTCAGGGCATTCATATGTTAGGTTTACCACTGCACTGTTAAATCAATTTCCCCCCACAAAATGATGCTGACTATTGTTCCTGCACACATTTTGTACACTGTTATATTAAGAAAAGAAAATAACAAAGACAGCACATTTTACTAATAATAATGTGTAGGATGGTGTAGCTACAGCCAAACTTTGTGCAAAGTACAAAAAAGGTGAGGGGAAGCACTTAATTTGTGACAGGAAACAGAGATAAGTGGGGAGACAACCACGCAGTCAGAACAAGTATGGCCCGGGAAATGACAGTTTGTCACCAAAGCCAAGTGCAGTTTATGGAGCACATGTGCTAGTGTGGTTGTAAGACTCTTGGCCTTGAGTGGTGACCTTCATGTTCAGATGTGTCTTTTTAGGTGTCTGGTCTGATTATGTCTGAGTTATAAACAAGTTAATGAATGTTCTGGTCACTAATATCAAGTGTTTCTGAGTTCTCATCCCATCGACTTGGTAATAAGCGAGTTACCTAATTCAGGCTCGTTTATAAGATGAGATTTCAGGAATCAGTCCATCATTTCTCAAATTTTAATTTACAATTCATTGGTTTTTACATACAGTACAGTACTGTACAGTAAAACTTGAGGAAATTTTATGACTTACTTTTGTAGAAATTTAAATACATTCCTAGTAATGAAATTTTTACATTAATGCTTAAGGTATGTTCATATTTTCCATGATTATTGAAGAATTTTTTTTTGTTTAATATACAGGTAACCATAAATATACTGTACACATTAGACTGTTCAGATCACTAGATTCACCCCTAAAGGTAGCTTTAACTGTACACTGTAACATTAAAACAAAATTGTACGTTTATAAACAGCAATAATGAAAGCATAAAAAGAGCAAAAATGACTGACTGCCCAAGCAGCTAACGAGCTGTTGATTGGCAAAGAGGATAAAAGTAAAAGATACAAGTCAGTGTACACACTGTGTCTCAGTTCTCCGGGACACTGGCCTGCTCTACGCTTGCCTTAGCAACATAGCAGAGTTCTTAGCAAAGGTACTCTTGTCATGGACCCTCCAACTCTTAGCAAAGGTACTCTTGTCATGGACCCTCCAACTCTTAGCAAAGGTACTCTTGTCATGGACCCTCCAACCTCCACACACTTACGATGGAAACCCATTGATGTGTAAAACCTTTTGAATTTTTTTTATTTTTTTCCCCACTTTGTATGTGTGTGTGGGTTTTCTTTGCAGGATTATTGTGTATTATATTAGTAAATTCATAATGCAGTGCAAGAGCTTGGATCCAGTCTGAGTTGGTTTAAACAATAATAATATATTTAGCCACTCTTTTACAGATTGAAAATCATGATGACTGTGTCTACGACTACTTGGATATCCGTGATGGTCATGAAGAAAACTCCACATTAATTGGTGTTTTTTGTGGCTATAAAAAACCAGTGGATATCAAATCAGCATCAAATAAGATGAGAATAAAGTTTGTGACAGATGGTTCAGTACAGAAAGCTGGATTTTCTGCCACATTTTTGAAGGGTAAGAATATTACTTGAGGTGAAGACCATCACATAGTATACAAAGTTACAACATTGTCTCATAACCTGAACTTTTTAAATGGATCACTAGCCACTAATCCTGTTTTCTGACATTCCTAATAGCTAGAGCACTGTTCTGTATTACATTTCTATTAGATTATAAATTATATTTAATCACTTTAATACATTATATCCCACTACAAGATATTTTTTTAAAGTCACATTATCAAGAGCATTTTATCACAGGGGGCTAGAGAGGATAGCCTTTCTCCCTTTTAACCATTGAATGTGTTCTTCTATTATAGTCACAGTCTCTCTGATGATCCCTCTCAAGGCTTACACACCACACACTTTAAAACTAAACATACTGTAAATTAGTGTAGATGTGTACCTCTCCTGCTGCACATGGGGGTGATCCTAGCACCAATTTCTGATACACACACACACACACACACACACACACACACATTTTCTTTTTTCCAAATTTGTAAATTGAGTGATATTATGAGTCACCATGTATGAAATTAATGAAAGGTGACAGAAGCAACTGATAATTATTGCACTTTTAATTATAGTATCATAATTTTCTGAAGATAAAAAACGAGTATAAACGTAGCTTGGAAGTCATAATTAAGCCTTGTATATTGCCAAGTATATCCACAAGATTCAGAATATTGTGTTGGATGTGTTGATAAGAGATATACTTTTTAAATGAAGAGAAAATAGATAACTGAATACAGAAACTAACCAGAGCATTTAAGGCAGGTCAGTGAGAAGAAAATTCAGTAAAAGTGGAAACACTCTAGATGTGACGATACAAATGTTCAAGTCTTCAGATTTATCACTCCTTATGTACTTCCATCCCACGAAAAGGTTGTTAGTGAGTTTAGAGAAAAAAATATCCATCGCAGAGGAATGAAAATTATGCTGGTGTTCTTAGTTGCATCTTCGGTGTGTTGGATTAGATTTTAAAGCTGTGTGATTGACTTTACACACCTTAAGTTATAAGATAAATTTATAGTACAGTCCTCTGCATTATATACATATCATAAATTGTTTGAGTTTTAAAAGCATTGGTACAGTTATTTTTCTGAAGTAATCTGGATAAATGTAATAAATTAGAGGTTTTGGTAATTCACTTATTATTATCTATTTTAATTGCTTTGTCCTTTGCAGAATATGATGAGTGTTCAAGTTTAGACCACGGATGTGAACACAATTGCATAAATCAGCTTGGAAGTTATGAATGTCGCTGTAAAATAGGGTATGAACTCCACTCGGATGGGAAAAGGTGTGAGGGTAAGTAATAGTTCCTTAGATGTCAGAAGTAAAAAGATTCTAAAACGAGGAAGTCGGGATCATCTTCAAACCCCCCACTCCTCCCCATCAAGATTATTACACCTGAAGATTAACCACCTCAATACTAGTGTAACCTAACATAGCCCATCTGCCAGGTAGTGTTAGGGTGATTAATCTTTAAGTAAAATAAACTAAGAGGAGGAAGGTGAATCTTTAGATGATCCAAAAATTACTTTAAAAAAATTTATTTAATATTTATTGACAGTAAATATATTAAGCTTTTTATAAGAGGGATGGGCTGATTTTCTGTATACGGTACTTGGTCGAGTGTTGGTCCCTAAGAGCTTACACTCACGAGTTTAATGATATGATTACTTTAACCAGAGGATTAAGGGCATTTAATAGTACCTTTTATAATGTAAGTTCAACTCTAGTCAAATCTATTATGTGTTGTCTAACTAAATAAGTAAATAGATAATTATTCAGTAAAATCATCATGCAAGTTTACATTGATTCAACATGTATGTAGATAATGTAAGAATACAGTAAATTTATTGTAGTTTTAAGATTCCAGCATGTACTGTAGGTGATGGTATACTTTTTAATTATTCTCAAGTCCCATGTTGTTTCAATTGCAGTCCAGATTAAGGTAACACAGGAGAAGATTTAGCTGCTTTGTTGGAGGACTGAGAGATGTGTGTGTGTGTTTATAGATATACTTTATTTGGTTTACCTCACTGGCCTTCTCTCTACAGATGCATGTGGTGGGAAGATTGACCAACCAAATGGAACAATAACCAGCCCTTCTTTCCCCGACCTTTACCCTGTCAACAAGAACTGTATATGGGAAATTATTGCACCGCCCCAATACCGAATTACTCTAAACTTCACTCACTTCGACCTGGAGGGCAACAATGTAAGTGAATGAGTTAGTAGCAGTTGATGATGTAGTTCTTTTAGTAGTAATTTGTAATGTCAATATGAATGAACACCCATAAGAGAACCAGTTGACTCTAGTGTTGGTGGTGCAGTGATAGTTCGCTTGTCCGCTTACCTCTCACGGCTGCATCCTGGGTTTGATCCCTGGGTCAGACGTGAGAGAGCTGTTATCCATTACCCTGTATTAACACTGGACGATAAAGATCATAACAAAGAACAGACCAAGTGGTAAAATAATAAGTGATAACACCAGTCAAAGAAAAATGGAGTATTAAACCAAGCTTGAACTAGTGGAGAGAAAGGGGGGGGGGGCATTTGTATATACTGTACTGGTTATACTAGAGTTATGAAGGGATGATGAATGAATAAAATAACTCATATTATGTGGTTGTTTTACAGATGCAGTAGAAAATAAAGAGAATTTATTTGGGACATAAGATTAACTAAAAAAAATTTCTCTTCTTAATAAGCTTTTCAAATTATCATTGAAACAGTAGATAATGATTTAACAAAAAAATTTACTGTATACACTGTGGTCACCCTTCTTGATAAACTTATCGTCCTCTGTAAATGAAACATCTGTTCTGAGAACCAATGAGTGTAAATCGGTCAGACAATAGTGTTGTTTAATTTAAATAACCAAGTACAGTAGAGTACCTGTAAATTGTTGTCCAGTGTAAATCAACCAAGCATTAGTGCTGCCTTAAAAAATAACCAAGCACTAATTTTGTATTTGTAAATCAACCAAGCAGTAATGCCTTTTTTTGTTTTGTAAGTCAGTTGTTACATTTTATGACTCAATAATTTCCTTGACTAAAGATTTCTTTTCAGTCACATTCAGAGGGCCCAAGTAAAGAATTTTCTTGCATCATATGTATCCTCACTTATTTATTTTATTTTACAGGTGTTGTTGCTACTTAAGTAAAAAAAAATAATCTGTACGTTTATCAGTATTCCTACATCTTGTCTCTGTACAGGTTCACGCTACATTATCTTTGTAAAATATCTGATGTTGATAAATATTATTATATTTTCCTCATTTCTTCCTTACAAGAAACCATGATGATTTCTTGAAGCTCCTACAAACTGATTCATATATTTTTTGTTGCAGTTTTCAGTGTACCAATATCAGTTTATATAACATAATTCACAGGTTGTTTTATCCTTCTTTCAGCTATATTTTCAAATACTGTATCTGAAAAACTAAATCTTATTTGCCTGTCCTTTCAGGTGAATATCACATTCCCACAACAGATTTTGATATTAAGGAAGTTACTAGAATTGTGACATGTCATATTCCTGATAAACGTGTTTGTCTGTTCCAGCAAGATTGTGAGTACGACAGTGTTGACATCCGTAGCAAACTGGGAGTGGCAGAAATGAGAAAACACGGGGTGTTTTGTGGACAGCGCCTGCCGTCGGTCATAACATCAGAGGGCAACAGTCTTCGTATAGAATTTAATTCGGATAATTCTGTACAGAAAAGTGGTTTTGCTGCCGTTTTCTTCACAGGTATACACTGTGTACATCAGTTCTAGTGAATAGTATTAATTCATCTTCAATACATCCATCGATTCATTTCCACATACTGTACTGTATAAATAGGCAGGTTTGGGACTTATTCGAAACCTTCTGTGTGGATTTGAAACAAGATCTCTTAACTACGTTTAGGCAGATAAGGATAACAGTACTATAGAGATAATCTATTATTGTTGAAACTTTTATATATTAGACCAAGTTCAAATAAGAATCTTGTGAATAAATATTATGTGTACATAATTTATTTTGTCCACCACCAGACAAAGATGAGTGTGCTACTGACAATGGTGGCTGCCAGCACGTCTGTAAGAATACCATTGGTTCTTACGTCTGTTCTTGTTCAAATGGCTTCACTTTGCATGAGAATGGCCACGACTGCAAGGAAGGAGGATGTAAACATGAAATAACTGCTCCAGTTGGAGAAATCTTCAGTCCAAACTATCCGGATTATTACCCTAGTCGAAAAGATTGTGTGTGGCAGTTCACAACCACTCCAGGACATAGAATCAAATTGGTTTGTACTACTTTTTGTCAGCCATATTACTCTTTGTATTGGTTTTCTTCCGTAATGAACTATGGTACTTCAGTTGTTCTCTTAAAAAGCCGATCATAACTTTCAAGTTTAAATTGTGTTTGTTGTTGTTAAGGTTTATTATATTACTGTACAAGTGTGGAGTGACTTTAGCCTTTTGAGAATGATGATGGGTTAATCCTTCAGGACTCAAATGGGTTAATATGATTAGTGTAACATTCTGAATACCCTAGCAGCTGTCTTGATAATTCACCCCTCTTGGTTTTGGGACCAGATCTACTGTAAATAGCATGACTTGCAAGCATTGTTTCATGTACACATATAATTAAGCTGTTCAGTTTTAGTATGACATGACAGTTTGTCATTTACATTTTATCATACAGAAACCAAATTGTTATTTTTTATTACAGGTATTTGATGAGTTTGAGATGGAACCTCATCAAGAGTGTACATATGATCATATAGCACTGTATGACGGCACTACCTCAGAAGCAGGCTTCCTTGGCCGGTACTGTGGGGCAAAAGTGCCACATCCTATAGTAGCCTTCAACAACCAAATGTTTATGGTATTCAAGTCAGATTCTTCTGTTCAACGGAAAGGATTCCGAGCCAGACACACTACAGGTGAGGCCAAAAGTTTTTATTTTAGTGCTCAACTCAATAAGAAATTAAGTGGTTAATTCAGAATTTAGTACAGTAGTAACTCTGGAGTAAAGTGTAATGAGGGTTTAGAAGAGATACTGGACACAGTGTTGAGAGTTAAGGTGGGATGTAACGGCCAGTCACTTGATGGCTACTGTAGTACATGTGTCTCCTTATCCAAACTCTGCTTTAATATAAGTCTTCCAGGCTCAAACCTTTAATCAGTGTGTATATATATATATATATATATATATATATATATATATATATATATATATATATATATATATATATATATATATATATATATATATATATATATATATATATATATATATATATATATAATAAGATATGCAGAGATTATTGTATACTGTACTTACTAAATGAACTTTGATCAGTGATAGGTTTCAATTTTTACATCATAAAGCTGTTTGTGCCTTTTGCCATCTGCAGAAATATTTTACCCACATTATCAGTAAGTGATGCACTTCATGTATCCATTTTATAGTATCTATTTAATTATTATTTACAGTGTTCACAGTATGTACTAGGTAAAGATATGCTGATTTTGTTAAGTCTGGTAATTATATTAAACACACTTGAGTTGTTATGCATAAAAGCAGTTTGCTGTTATCCTGTTCATCATCAAGAACTAGAAAATTTTCATAATGCTAAATAGGATAGTGTAAAGAGCTTTTGTTGTTGTTATTCACAGACTGAGGTGTTTTTGTTTGTTTACAGTGTGTGGTGGTGGTCTTAGAGCTACCAGCACTGTTAAGCACATGTATTCCCATGCTAAGTATGGTGATCAAAACTATGATAATAAAGAGGACTGTGACTGGATCATACAAGCATCACCAGGAGAAAACGTCCACCTCACATTCCTAACTTTTGAGCTTGAGGATGAACATGATTGTGGATATGATTATGTTGAAGTGTTCTCAGGTTACAGCGACTCAGGACCTTCCTACGGGAAATTCTGTGGAAATACTGTGAGTACTGATAAAAATTCCCTGTAGCATCATGTTTTGTAATAACTGTAGAAGATTTACTTAACATCCCACCATCATAAACATGCCTTGTGGAGAACAGGAAGTGTTGACTATCCTGAGGTCTCAAACAGAAAATACCACTTCTGTGTACAGAGATCAAACCCATGTCTCCCTATGACCTTTCTGAAGTGATTTCTTCTTTGTCCACATCATACTGTGGTCTTACCTCCAGGGGCACCATCAGTCTCAAACTCAAGCTAAAAGCAAATGATATTTCCATTTATCTGTTTTTAATATTATACAAATCTTCAATTCTCCTGAACACCTTCGTGCACCGCTGTATTAGTAATCTCATCCCCTCCCAGGCACGGGCTAGATCTGCGATGTATCTTTTTTCCTTCAGATCGATTTTTCGACAATCAGTTCTTATTACAAAGTACAGTACTGTATAACCAAAAATGAAAATTTTTAAGCATTGTATTGGTGAAAAAATAAATTGGCAAGGGGTAATAATAAGACTGATGATAGATTGGAAAAATACTTATTACAATTTTACATTTTCTGTATAACCAGCTGCAAGCATTTTATTGAAAAATATTCCCAGCAGTTGCAAATAACCAATATAAGATGAAAGAATAAAATACAGATAACATTTGTCACAGTTTTACCAATTTTATTAGCAAATATTACCACAATTATTATTATTATTATTATTATTATGGGTTTATATAAGTGTCTAGGTATGTTATGGTGGATTTAGAATTTTGCAAGCATGTGTAGTTTAGCTGCAAGCAATTTTAGAATAAAAAAAAATATTCCCAGCAGTTCACACAAATAACCATTATAAGTTTGAATAAATTAAATATTGAAAAATAAACTGATTAACATTTTGTAAAAACTTATAAATACTTAACAAACAATTTTACCAGCAAATATTACTGCACAATGGAGAGCAGAAATGTGTGAGAAGTACGGGAGAAAATTTAAAGAGAAAGTGCATGACACCTTCTAGTGTGACTGCTGGAAGACTACCGACGTGCCGAAGCCTCACTCTAGGAGGGGTTGCTATATACAGTATCTAAATAGTGTTGGATTTTTATGAGAGAGATTGGTTCGAGGAGTGACTCGCCAAAATTTCACATGTCAATCATAATTGCTCAATTTTTTGGTGAATATTTTCTTTTGGGTGACTCAAGAATGGTGTCACTGCCAGTTGGATGAGACTAAATATTTACTCTGATATTGATGCACGGTGTGCAAGAGTGTTAATGTAATCCAATCACTTAATGAGACAACCTTTATTCATTTAATTATTGCCAACACTATTTTTCTAATAATTCACAGCTATACAATATCCTTTAAATAAAATAAAAGTTAAATAGAAATACTGTATGGAATGCCTATAAGTGCTGCCATAACTGCTACAATATTTGAATATTTTCATAATTTTGATGGGTTGTCATAAATATACAGAGCCTGGGATAATTATAATTGTATTGGTAACTTATATTCATTATCTAACTACATTTTTTCCACAGATTCCACAAGAAATAGTGTCAATTAATGATGCCCTCCTAGTGAGATTTCGCTCAGATGACACTATAAACACAAAGGGATTTTCCGCTGCCTACGTTGCAATAGCAGAAGAAAGTTTGGCAGAAAATAGCACTGGTGATAATAACAGTTTTAGCTACAGCTTCTCCAGAGGGTACTAGCAAAATCTTCATCTGCAACATGATCAATAGTTATGAGCCTTAACTTTGCTCTCCATATGTTTGCTTTCTTGTTCAAACTGCTGAAAATGAGCTTAATTGAAGTGCTGTATATGAGCTACAATAATTTTTTAAAAATGCTTACATTAAATCCAGATGAAGAGTAAAACATTTTACTCTATTTTGGGTTTACCTTCACTAAACTTTATGAAGAGTTATGGCCATAATAACAGGACATGTTGCAGTATACAAATAGGTCATCTTCTGTGTCTCAGTCTCTTATTCTCCAGACCACTCCATTCTTTCTTAATGCGGTAAATCTCGACAACGCCTTCTCAACTGTTGTCACCTCTCAGTTTGATGTTTATAGAATGTAGATAAGCAACAGTAGTTTATTACTGTGTACAATATTATGTTCTTGATCATGCCAATACAGTATATGGCTGTGTCAGATTTGTAGTCACATATGTTTTAAGTTTGGGTACAAGTACCTCATCATGAGTACTTACAGAGACGCTTCTTGTCACATACCGTCTGTCAAACCTTGTTTATTTAATGGGGATTAAATATGACTTTGCATTATTAACTTTGTATTTGTTAATTATGCAAAAATTTAACTTTTCTTATAGCTAACAAAAAGTAATTGCTATTGGAATGTCTAAATACTATAATTATTACTGTAGTGTACAGTAAAAAGTCATATTGAAGAGGTTTGACAAGTTAAGCTGATTATTATAGTGGGGTAGAGTGAATCTAAAATATGAAATACACCTCACTTGTGTTCAGGCTTAGTCACATCCCCAGTACCAAGTCAGTAAACTTACACTAAGATTCAACTAGTATATATAATATCTGAGCAAATAAATCAATTGATGAATCCATATCTGGCAAATGCGAGTACTTTTTTTTATTAGTAAATACTCCCAAAAATAATTTAATAGTCAAATTCAGGAAATGCTGTAAAGTTGGAAATATATTCATGAAACAATAATACCAACAGAGCATGGAAATGTGCAATGGCTGATCTGAAAATGTGTGTGTACGACCGACCCTGTTGATGGCAGTAGTGTGTGCTGCTCACCAGTCAAATGGACAGACACATCACTGATGAATTTATTCTCATTTACACTAACCTGATTACATATTAATTGTAACTGTTGATAATATGGTTTCATGAGTATATTAAACTTATCTCTTGCAATTATCTAGGTTTTTATGTTAGTACTCTTTATTATTATTATTTATTGCTTTATTGACCTTACTGTCATTGGCCAGTTAAAAGGACATTGTTTTACCAAGCATGACCTGACAACATCAAAGTATTCAGGGGGGTTAGAAAAATAAGTTATAATCAAAAGCCTAGTGTATCACCTTATCAGCTATATAAAAGCAGCTTCTGATTGGTGCCACCCATATATGTGATTTTCTGATGAACATTTAACAGAACACATTCCTTTTTCAGTTTCTCTTTGAGTCTGCAAAAGGATACAAAAAAAAAATGGTTTGCATAGATGGCTGCCATTACAAAAAGCTACAAATAATTAGCCTTTTCATTGCCACAAACTTCTAGCATAGAATTATCAAGATTTAAAGAAGAAAAAATCAAGCACAAATGAATTGCCAAAATCTTTGCTATGCCGAAAGATTTCTCATATTTTATACTTGCCATAATTCCATATTTTCCCTTGTATCCCTTTATTATAAATTTTGGTTGTCAACATTCATAAAATCAAAGGTCCATTAAAATGATGTGTATAAATAACTGCAATGTGAAGAATTTCTTAGAAAAACACATTTAGCTGGTACTGATTTACATATCACAGATGTTGGTCTCTTCAAAACTATGTCATCCAGCCTTCATTATACATGTAGGAACTAGTTGTGGATTAATTTCTGGTCGAAAATTATCAAAATATTTTGATTACACAACAACTTAGAAGCAAAATAGAGGTGAGGTTATGGCTTTTTAGTTATATTAAAATTTTAAAGTGGCAGCAAAACAAAACCCAAACTTTGTATTGCACTTGGTCTACTTCAAAAGTTTAGCAGAGAACTAACTCTTCATTGAAGGTTGATCTTGTGTATCATATAAGGTTCAGTCAGTGCCCACTTAACATACTGATGCATTCCTGAAAACCTGTGTGTTAACTGGATCTATGTTAAGTGCACACTGATAATTTCCTTTATTATGACTGCTGTTCATAGGAAAATTGTTACACAAACTATTTTCATATTCATAGAAACCTCTGAATGAAAAACAAATTAACTCAATATAGTAAAGTAATGATATTCTGCAACAGCATTTCAATTAGTATACAGAAGACAGTGAATATCGACCTTACAGCTGCGGTGGCTCTAGCACAAACTCTGACTCTTGGTGTATGAAATAACATCACGGTAGTGTGCCTGAGGTATTGGCTAATTTACGAAGCCTTGGATTATTGTATTGTGCATAAAAAAATGTCTCGGTTAATCTGAAAATAGCATTTGGACTTGAAAATAATTTATAAACAAAACTGCCGTAGTGGGTCATAAAGTATTAGTAGACAGTTGCATGTGTAGAACGTAGTAACACCAGACTGGGGATTTTCCATTAACAACATTCCAACTAAAGTAACCAAGACTGAACATAAGCTGTAGTCTGGCTGTACAGTGTGAATAGAACAGTTGATTTATAAACATGGTTTAGATTAATGTCTCTTCTGGTGGGTTTGTATTGAACAGAAGTGACAATTAAGACAAAAAATACAATGTAAAGGAAGGGATATTAGCAGGTAAACAATACAAAACTAAGTAGTGAGGCTGTGCACATACTCACCTGACAAACACAAATGGTCAGGATGAAGTACTGTAAAGATTTAAATCTAATTACTATAAAGTGTATGTAGTGGGTTTGTACTGAATAAAAATATTAATTTCTATGTTATAAAAATACTGTGCAACACTTGTTCATATTAACATGTTGGAGGGCATATTAGCATATTTCATAACATGCTGACATATATCCTAGTATGTTTGCAATGAACAAATATACTATTTTTATTGCATAGACCATTATGTTTATTTGCTGCAGGTGTACTGGAGGAGATACTAACATACAGTGTACATGTGTTACCGTCCTCTACTTGCATTATAGTCATCAAAGTCAATTAGTTTACTGAGCTGTATTCTTTATTTTAATTTTTATATAAACATCACAGCTTTAATGTGTTCATTAAACACCACAAGCCCCTTATTTTATTCAATGAAACTGTTAATCAAACTAATGACCTGATTTTCATCGCATTAAATCATGTAAACATGAGTGAGGTTGGTAACAGTGAAGGAAACAAGATGGTGTTGGCCTCACTATTACTTAACTTCACACATATATCCTATATCACTCAATACTGTATGGTGAAAATTATGTCATTTGTTTGGTCAGTAATTTTTTATAATAGAATTTAAGTACATGGAAGGGATCAGTGTACATATTAAAGCTTTGTTTTTCACATAACATTAAGAATATACCTCAGATGGCATACCAACACATGCACTTACACACAGAAGCTAAACACATCTCTTATTTAATCAATGTTGTCAACACTTAGGTGCTCGTAGATACTTCTAAATCTCGGCCAATTGCCCATTCAGTCTTACTGCCCAAGGAAGAGTATAATAACAGCGTGCAGTGTTAAAATACCTGGCATCTTCAAAATTTTGCTATATAGTTCAACAGCAGTGATCATATTAATACCACAGTAATGATAACTTAGGTGTGTTTTAGATAAGAATAGCGCAAAATATTCTGGAGTAATCATCTTCTCCATATAGTATGAGTATAATGAAGATGGAAGGGAGTGACAAAAGCTCTGTTATAACATGATTTCTGCTGTTGTAGTCCATCCCATGCAGTTAATAGTCCAGTAAAGCATCAAACTTGTATCAGACACAAGAAATATAAAAAATCAAGTACTATTTAAGGCCATTAACAAAAAGATTAGAGTAAATAATTGCTTCTCATCATATGCATACTGTATTTGTGGATGTTTTTAAACAAAGTACCACAAGTTTACCAATTGATGGGAGTACATAACTATCCCGCTCTAATAATATTTATAATTTTCAATGAGCTGTGTGGCTTATTTACTAATACAGTAGCTACTGTACAGTACCATACTTTGTTAGTACAGTACACTGTATTAAGTTATCATTTAATATATACATATAAGAAAATAAAATGAAAATGCAATTTCACTTTTGGCAGGACGGAATAAGTAACCACTAACGTCGTGTGTGTATATATATATATATATATATATATATATATATATATATATATATATATATATATATATATATATATATATATATATATATATATATATATATATATATATATATATATATATATATGCGCGCAGATGTGTAGAAGTACATGTTTATAGTACAGTACCAATACTTGTTAACTACATATTATGGGGGTTAGAATAAATTATATAATCAGTAAGGTATTCTATAAAGCATACTGGCCAGACAAATATGATAGGTAACAACTAAACTACCAATGAGGCTTCACCCACTTATTCAATATTCATATTACTGTATAGTACCTATGTTGGTAAATTTCATTGTTTAATGTAGTAAAAACAAAATTATGTTAAAGTACAGCTTTCACCTGAAAAGCCGTAATATTTTGAAAAACAAAATGGTAGTGTAGTGAATTTGCTACATGTTGCAGTCAGTCAAACAAACTTACATGAACTGTATTGGTTACTAAGAGATGTTAATCTCCAACAACTGTACATTTCACAGAATGTCAGTTAGGTCAATGGCTGTCATTTTTCCTGACCTTATAAGAGGCAACTGTGAGATTGAAATGAAAATGACCCAAATAACTCTTATTACACATGATTTTGCCAAGACAGGTGGCCCTCACTTTATGCGACTTAATGCAATTTGCTAATATATGAAGATCAATTTCTACCACTCACTTTGTGCAAGAAAAATTCACACTTATACAATTGGTAGAGTTGGATGTGCAAAGCTCGAGTAGTAGATGTACAAGGACACCGTTACACAGGTTGGGAGTGGGTGTAGGGGTGAGTGAGTAATTAATCGAGGTAGTCCATATGCTTCCTAACTAGGTGTCACATGGTCCATTGTTGTGTGTGTGACTACACTACTCAAATCTCATCTTGTGTGTGGATTTGCCATTAATGTTGATTAGTGCAATGTTGTCTAAATGACCTAGTGCATGTCTTAACCCCTCTACTTATCCATCAGTGAAGCAAAATACAACAGCTTTAACACTAGGATAAGAACAGGAGTAAGAAGTCCTTAATCTGAAAAAATGGAGATGGTTGTAATGTTAATCGAGGACCAAATGCAGAAGAAAACGGTGGATTTCATTTGTTAAGGTGTTCCTGTTGATGGTACGTATTCAAGTAGATACTGTTTTATTTATTTCTTCCTTCATATAATGACTGACGATTGTTTTATTTAGAAGGGAATTTTTTCATTCCATTGGTCGTTTTTTTTGGTGGGGTGGGGCAGTAGAGGTCCTGAAGCACTACTGTACATTAATGTGTTATGTAAACTTTCTTGGAACACAACTGCAACATAAAGTGAAGCCCACCTGTACTAACGTGAGGGAGTGTTGTAGAAGAGATATAATTTAGTGACCTTTCAACTGCAGTATTGTATTACAATAATATATATATATATATATATATATATATATATATATATATATATATATATATATATATATATATATATATATATATATATATATATATATATATATATATATATATATATATATATATTATATTTAACTGACTCAATGCAAATGATTTGAATTATATAGTGCATATTGTATTGTTCTTATAACAGTATAGTAATACCATCACTAGCCCACCAGCATAGTAATTATAAAGAGAACAAGGATCCTTCATTATATATTGTCTCCTGACACTTTACCTTGCAAATCTTCCAGTATTTTTATACAATAACAATGTTTTTGCTGTTCATTGCAATTGTATGTGTCATAAAAATATTTCTCTATTATATTACAAGATAGGTCCTCTAGTGGGGAGCCAGAGTAAAGGTTGGAACACTACTTCCCCACCTCATTTAAGTTCACTGGAAAATAAAAATAAATCACCTGAACAATAGTACCTATGTTTTCTTACTGATGGAGTTGAAGTTTAAGATGAAAAAAAAAAAATAATAATAATTCCCCCAGCATCCATAAGGTATTTTGAGTGTACAAGTGGTAGGTCAAATCGGGCAGAATAACCCATAGTGTAGTACTTTAACCATAAATTCACAATCAGTCACATATGAAACATGTCAATTATTTCTTCTGTACTGTGAATGGTTTTAATTAATATTTGAAAAGATAACGTTTGACTGTTAATGGACGCAACAGTTTTGTGTGTGTCTGTCTGTGTGTGTGTGTGTGTGTGTGTGTGTGTGCTAATAAGAATGTAAGTAATGTAAAAGGAGGTTGGAGTTGTGTAAATTGGCCACATGTTCTGTGGGAGCAGTTTGTCAATAAACATGTGCCATATGTAAGAGTTATTCTTAATTTCCCGTGAACATGGCCACCCGCAGCTGCAAGGTTACGCAACACAATGTTAATATCTCGCATAAAACTAATGAAGTCGTACGTACACATTTTTTATAAGCACGGTTTGTGAAGAAGTCAGCAAGTATGGGTTTAGTTTAAAAATTAAAGTTTGTGGTTATTTATAAGCTTGTTAGACTATCTGTCAAGAGTTTATAATGATTATCTTTGCCTGTAATACTGTATAAGTTATGTTACTCTAAAAGGTCTGGTCAATGCCTCATGTATTAATAGTTATGAAAACTGACTGAGTGGCAACATCAGTGTGAAACTTTTAACTATACTGATGTTCATTATAAATGTTTAATTTTCTCCTGTTAATAACTTTTACATCACCCCTAAACTAAATTTTCAACACCTTTATAGTCACATGAACAAAAAAGCATACACACTTGCACTAAACCAAACTTGCACACACAAAATGTAGCTTAAGTATGCTTATAAAGTTGCATCCATCCCATTCATTTTTAAAATATAAATATTTAATTACACAAATGATAAATGACTTAATTTGATTTGTCAAGAAATCAGTTTTTGTAATCTACTTAATGAATGCATTCTATAACCAGACTTCATTAATGAATACAAATTTTGAATAATTTAATATAGGGAGGAAAATCAAGAAATTCAGAAGTGCCTTCACAGGGGTGAACAGGTTGTATTCAGAACAGGCTTTAGGACACTCACTTTAAATTTGTTTTGAAAATAGGTAAGATGTCAAAATGGATGACTGATCCTAAAATGTCATTTTTTTTATCAAGCTGAGAACTTGGCAACTCATATAATGTGCACACAAGGTCAATGCAGACTGTACACCCTGGTAACCCATAATATTAGTGGCTGGAAACTAATGTAATGATTACTTTATTCTCCCATTACAACAATATTCCTTAAACAAGGTACAGTATTACTTATACAGCCATAGCCCTTAAATGAGTACTGTACTAGATTATGAGCAAAAGTTAACCCCTTAAGGCTGCAGGGTAGCTAGTCATAATGTCACACAAATATGAAAACACCTCACCTGTGTGTCATCAGTGTTGCTTATATTGAATTACTGGGTTTAGTGTTCAACTCCAGTCACATTCCCGCTACTCATTGGAAGGAGGGCTGTTATGACGCAACACCCATTCACTGTAACTGAAGTCAGCTAGAAAACAGGAAGAGCCAGTTATATAAATTCACTAACTACTGTACTAATGTAACACAGCCCCACTAGGGGGTTTATCACAGATGAAAGGGAAGTGCACGATACTGATCTTACAAACTCCTCTGACTCTCCAGTATCATGCCCTGCCATCTGGTTGTTATTACCTTAATAGGTTAAGGAGTACTGTTCAGTTCCAATGATTCAATAAACTAATCATCAGAGCAGTTCCCAGCTGTTAATGTCAAGGGCCACCTGGGTCTCCAACCCAAAGACCAGTGAGCACATTACATGAATCACCAGGTATATGGGCTTCATGTCACAGAAATATTTCTAGCTGTTATATAGTTAATGAGGCTTATGGGAACAATACTTACATAATTACTCTTTCCTATTGGTAATTAAGCCACATTTTATTTAAATTTAATTAATTAAATTTTTCAAGAAATTTCTCTACACTACAGTACATAATGTTGCCAATAAGTATAAATTCAGTGAAAAGCATGTCATCAGATGTACTCTTAAACTATATCTGTACAGTACAGCCAACTTGTGCACAAAATACATCTCAATTGATCCTTGTACCAGGTTAATTGCTACTATGGTGACAAATAAACCAAACCCATTTAGAAACATGAATATGCAAAGACAGTGAGTACAGCTACTGATAACCTAACATTATGAAAACGTCAAATGTTTCTTTGAAACTGGAACTCACAAATGCTCTTTTCTTCACAAATCCAAAACTAATTGACTATGTGATATAACAAAATGTGGCTATACTACAACTGTACTACAATATGACAACATAAAATTTATTTCCTCTCCTAAATGCTTGTACAGTACAGGTATATGATAACTACACTGTATATTGTAAATTATGATGAAGAAAAATAATTATAAAAGGTACATTAAACTATTCCTTACAATGTACAGT